AAAATAAACAAACTGTGGAATGACCAGGGTGGGACAAAGGACTCTTGTCTGTTGGAGCTAGGTGTGAATGTTTCAACTGACCACCTTGATTAGCATTTGATGACCTGGCAGTGCCTGGGGCAATCTTTTATTGAGAGGTGATTAGATGTGCCTGCTTCTTTACTTTCTCTTGTCAGCCATAGCAGAGCACCTGATGAACCAACCTGGACACAGCATATTATTTGAGAACACAGAAATGCTGGACCACTCTCACAACCACCATGTCAGAGTACACAGAGAAGCCATTGAAATCCACAAGCATGTGGACAATTTCAACAGAAAGGAGGAAACCATGAAAATGAACAAAATCTGGCTACCAGTATTTAAAAAAACTCTAAAATTACAACAGCAAAACAACAGAGGGGAAACAATCAGGCACATCTAATCACCTCTCAACAAAAGATTGCCCAGGCACTGCCAGGCCATCAAATGCTAATCAAGGTGGTCAGTTGAAACATTCACACCTAGCTCCAACAGACAAAAGTCCTTTGTCCCACCCTGGTCATTCCACAGATATATAAACCCATTTTCCTAGTTCCAACAGACCTCACTACCTCTGAGGATGCTTGCCATAGATGCAGGCGAAACGTCAGGAGAGAATGCCTCTAGAACATGGCCATATAGCCCGAAAAAACCTACAACAACCCAGTGATTCCGGCCATGAAAGCCTTCCAATACATTAGACCTCACAACCTCTGAGGATGCCTTCCATAGATGAAGGCGAAACGTCAGGAGAGAATGCCTCTGGAACATGGCCATACAGCCCAGAAAACACACAACAGCCCAGTGATTCGAGCGATTAAAGCCTTCGACAATACATTGTTAAGCAGTTGTTTGTCTTGAAATTAAAATTGGGTGATAGAGGCAATTATCTGACCTTTGAGTGTTGGAAAGGCGTTGTAAGATAAGACAACTGAGGGTCAGGTTGTGCAATAGAGAGTCTCGATGGAGTGGCATTGGTGGACTAGATTAGTATTGTATCTAAGTAGTTGCTTGCTGAGTAAGCTTTTAAAAGGAAAAGGCGTTATATCTCTAACCAGTGTCTGGGGGAAGAAAACAGGAAGCGTTCCCCAATTTTTCTGTATTTTTTTCTTGGAAGTGCTTCACAAACAAAAGTATTAAAAAGAGTCCAGAAGAACAGCGGTCTGAGGAAGCGTTCATACAGGGATTAAGCGAATCCCACCATTGTAATTTACTATTATCACCAGATTTCTTTGTCTTAGAATTGAATATCCTGTAACCGTCCATTTCCTCTTTGGGTCTCCAAAATTAAGTTTCCAATCCTTATAATCTTAACCCATTCCTAACTCTCATTCTCTTGAGAATATCGGAATTCCAAACTTTTAAAAGCAATTGAGAAGCTGAATGACTGGAAATTCAGACAGCAGAATGAGCTTCCCAAAATAAGATACTGTAGTGACATCTTCCAATTTGGAAGGATTTAAATTCCTGTTTGGAGATTTCCCAGAAATTTTAGAAGTACCATATATACTCAAGTATAAGCCGAGGCACCTATTTTAACCACAAAAAACTCGAAAAATGTATAGACTCGAGTATAAGCCGAGTTTGGGAAATAGATACGAATAAAATTACATTTAATTGAGGCATCAGTAGGTTAAATGTTTCTGAATATTTACATAAAACTGTAATTTAAGATAAGACCATTCAACTCTGGTTACATCATTATTCTAACCTTGAATGTAAATGTGCTTACGTATCCTTCCAGTAATAATAGAATAAAATAATAAATGTAATAAAAATAACTGCATGGAGTGCCGTTGCCTTCCCGCAGAATGGTCACATGATTTCGAACTGCTTGGTTGGCAGAAGCTGGGGCTAACAGCGGGAGCTGACCCCACTCCCCGTTTCAAACCACCAACTTTTTGGTCAGCAAGTTCAGCAGCTTAGCAGTTTAACCCACTGGGCCACCGGGGGCTCCCATAATGATAGAGTAAAAGAATAAATGTAATAATATCAATAATAAATGAGTAAAGTAATAAATGTAATAATAATAATAATAATAATAATAGAGTAAAATAATAAATGTAATAAAAATAGCTGCATGGAGCGCCGTTACCTTCCCGCAGAATGATCACATGATTTCGAATTGCTAGGTTGGCAGAAGCTGGGGCTAACAGTGGGAGCTCACCCCACTCCCCAGATTCAAACCACCAATTTTTTGGTCAGCAGCTCAGCGGTTTAACCCACTGTGCCACCAGGGGCTCCCATAATGATAGAGTAAAATAATAAATGTAATAATAACAAGAATAAATGAGTAAAGTAATAAATGTAATAAAAATAATAGAATAAAATAATAAATGTAATAAAAATAACTGCATGGAGCGCCGTTGCCTTCCCGCAGAATGATCACATGATTTTGAACTGCTAGGTTGGCAGAAGCTGGGGCTAACAGCGGGAGCTCACCCCACTCCCCGGATTCAAACCGCCAACCTTTTGGTCAACAAGTTCAGCAGCTCAGCGGTTTAACCCACTGTGCCACAGGGGCTCCAATAATGATAGAGTAAAATAATTAATGTAATAATAACAATAATAAATGGGTAAAGTAATAAATGTAATAATAATAATAGAGTAAAATAATAAATGTAATAAAAATAACTGCATGGAGCGCCATTACCTTCCCGCAGAATGATCACATGATTTCGAACTGCTAGGTTGGCAGAAGCTGGGGCTAACAGCGGGGGCTCACCCCACTCCCTGGATTCAAACCAGAGGCTCCAATAATGATAGATTAAAATAATAAATGTAATAATAACAGTAATAAATGAGTAAAGTAATAAATGTAATAATAACAATAATAGAGTAAAATAATAAATGTAATAATGATAATAGAGTAAAATAATAAATGTAATAGTAATAATAATAATTATAATAATAACACAGTAAAAAAATAAATAACCTTGACTCGAGTATAAGCCGAGGGAGGCTTTTCAGCCTTTAAAAAGGGCTGAAAAATCGGCTTATGTTTGAGTACATACGGTAAATAGAGTATTGGCTTCAGTATTGATCTGCTCAAGGGCATATCAACACTGCCCCTTTCTTCAGCCATAGGTTTTAAATGCTTGTTGTTATTGTTTATTGTTTACTTTTGTGTATGAGATTTATTTTAACGTATTGATTGTTTTTTATTGCTTTTACTGTTGATGTACTTTGGACTCGGCCTCATGTAAGCCGCACCAAGTCCTTGGGGAGGTGGTAGCGGGGTATAAATAAAGTTGATTATTATTATTATTATTATTATTATTATTATTATTATTATTGTCATCAGGCAAATGCAAACAGTTACATAATTTATGCCAGCAAGGAGATTCAGATTGTTGTAGTCCTGGAATCCTTTGATAAGAGCTGCCTCTGGAACAGGACCTTATGAGAGATATTTCCTGTTTTGGGATTGTGTGGGCGCCAAAGCATTCTGTTTTACTTCCCCTTTCTTTCTTTTTCCTCCCATGAAGCTAATTAAGCACATGATAGAGCAACTTGTGATCATACAGTCAAAACCAAACTCTTGTCATGGCAAAAGGTTCCTTTTCCCTTAATATCTCAATAGAAGGAAGAAAAACCCGGTTCACTGGCCTCCTCCCTGTCCTTTATCACATTTCACTATCAGGCATACGTGGTTGGTAGCTTCCCTTCTGCAAAAATCCCCAGGATTGCTTTGGGATTATATAGGAGAGCTTTCCATTTGCAAGGTCCATAGGTTCAGGATTGTGCAAACACAGGGCTGCTCTTGGAGATCCCAGCTGACAAGGTACCTCCTCTTGACTGCTAGGTCTCTAGGATGGGGAAAAGGTGAAATGACATTTGAGAAAGCAGCAGCAAAGACTGGATGGTCATGTGCATCTGCTGAGTCCAAGCCACCAAAACTGCCATGTCGGAGCCCTGGCGAACGGAATATCTTTGGCAGGCTGGCCTTGGGTTTGTTTCTCCTCGGGTAATTTGTGCGGGAGGTGTTTATAGCCTTTAAGTGATGCTTGCCTGTGTTTTAAAGCTTTGCTTCACTCCGCAGGCATCTTTCATTGCGATTTAAAATTGCATAGAGTTCAGACTTTGGGGCGAGTGCTTCAAAAATCTTCGAGGAATGTGTTATCGAAGGCTTTCATGGCCGCAGTCATTGTGTTGCTGTGAGTGTTTGTTTATTTACTAGCCGTCCCCTGCCACGCGTCACTGTGGTCCACATTGGGTTCTGTGTGGGACGTTTGCCCAAATTCTATCGTGGGGGGGTTCAGAATGCTTTATGATTGTAGGTGAACTATAAATCCCAGCAACTACAACTCCCAAATGTCAAGATTATTTTCCCCAAACTCCACCAGTGTTCACATTTGGGCATATTGAGTCCATATTGGTCCAGATCCATCATTGTTTTGAGTCCACAATGATCTCTGGATGTAGGTGAACTACAACTCCAAAACCAAAGGACACTGCCCACCAAACTCTTCCAGTATTTTCTGTTGGTCATGGGAGAACTGTGTGCCAAGTTTGGTTCAATTCCATCGTTGGTGGGGTTCAGAATGCTCTTGGGTTGTAGGTGAACTATAAATCCCAGCAACTACAACTCCCAAATGACAAAATCAATTTTTAGAGTGAAAGACATACATTGGGTTGTTAGGTGTCTTGTGTCCAAATTTGGTGTCAATTCATCCCGTGGTTTTTGAGTTATGTTAATCCCACAAACGAACATTACATTTTTATTTATATAGATTTTCCTAGTTTCCAACAGGCCTCACAACCTCTGAGGATGCCTGTCATAGATGTGGGTGAAACATCAGGAGAGAATGCTTCCGGAACATGGCCAGACAGTCCAAAAAACTCACATCAACCCAGAGGTTCTGGCCATGAAAGCCTTCAACAACACAAATGGTGGTCTCTCTGCCTTATATCTACCTGCATCGTTCTTGTTTTTTAACTCCTTCATAAAATGAATGTATTGTGTTCTCTCTATGTAGGACCCGCCTGGCTTCTCTCTTTGGGCTGGATCAGACAGTCACCGGTGGCGGAAATGAATTTTTCCAGTACACAGCACCCAAACAACCTAAGAGAGGTCAACCAGCTGCTGGTCAGTAACTACTTATACCACCTCTAATGCTTTTGTACAAAAAGTAACACTCGGATTAGCTTTATGTTGGAATAAGACCTTAAAGTAAAGGTAAAAGTTTTAATGTTGAGATGCAGGGAAACATTTGTGTCAGGAGTAAGGAGATAAAGTGGACTGTGGTCCCCATTCCCATTGCCATTTCTCTTGTGGCATTTCAGCTGCAGGTCCGCCATCCCAGAAGCCTCCTGCTCCAGTGTCCAGTTCAACACCACCATCCGTCTTCATAGCGACAGCTGTTCATGCCTATCGGTTGTAAGTATTATGGTTTCATTGCGTATCAGAAGCTAGAATGTCTGAAAGCAGACTCCACAATCATACTTAGTCTTCAATGACGTGCAGTGTTTGGGGTGCTAGTGACTGTTCTCTTCCTTGACCCATTATAGCAATGTTTCTCAACCTTCTGAATGCCGCGACCCCTTAATGCAGTTCCTCGTGTTGTGGTGACCCCCAACCATAACATTATTTTCATTGCTACTTCAGAGCTGTCATTTTGCTCCTGTTATGAATCGTCATGTAAACATCTGATATGCAGGATGCATTTTCTTTCACTGGACCAAGTTTGGCACAAATACTCGATATGCCCACATTTGAATACTGGTGGGGTTTGGGGGGAGGATTGGTCTTGTCATTTGGGAGTTGTAGTTGCTGGGATTTCTAGTTCACCTACAATCAAAGAGCATTCGGCACTCCACTAACAATGGGATTGAACCAAACTTGGCACACAGAACTCCCACAACCAACAAAAAATACTGGAAGGGTTTGGTGGGCATTGACCTTGAGTTTTGGAATTGAAGTTCACCTCCATCCAGAGAGCACTGTGGACTCAAACAATGATGGATCTGGACCAAACTTGGCACGGATACTCGATATGTGAACATTGCTGGAGTTTGGGGGAAATAGACCTTGTCATTTGGGAGGTGTAGTTGTTGGGATTTCTAGTTCACCTACAATCAAAGAGCATTCTGAACTCCACCAACAATGGGAGTGAACCAAACTTGGCAGACAGAACTCCCACAACCAACAGAAAATACTGGAAGGGTTTAATGGGCATTGACCTTGAGTTTGGGAGTTATAGTTCACCAACCTCCAGAGAGCACTGTGGACTCAAACAATGATGGATCTGGACCTAACTTGGCACGGATACTCAATATGTGCACATTTCTGGAGTTTGGGGAAAATAGAACTTGTCATTTGGGAGTTGTAGTTACTGGAATTTATAGTTCACCGACAACTAAAGAGCATTGTGAACCTCACCAATGGTAGAATTGGGCCAAACTTCCCACACAGAACTTTCATGGCCAACAGAAAATACTGTGTTTTCTGATGCTCTTTGGTGACCCCTCTGACACCCCCTCATGACCCCCCCAGGGGTCCTGATCCCAGTAAGGCTCTGATAACTGCAGAATCCATATCTACGCTTCTACTTACATCTGTATAGAATTTTCTAGACCTTCCAGACAATTCTAGAACAGTTTTTTTTGTGGCCAACCTAATGTCCTTAGGGAGAGAGTTCCACAGACGAGGGGCCACTACTGAGAAGGCCCTGTCTCTCGTCCCCACCAACTACATTTGCGAGAGTGGTGGGATTGAGAGCAAGGCCTCTCCTGCTGCTCTTAAGCTTCGTGATGGTTTTACTATATTTCTTCAAACAACGTTTGCTCTTGCCTTCCTCTGAAGCTGAGTGATTGTGAATTTGGGAAATATAGAAATATGAATGAATGAAATAGAGAAATGGGAATGAATATGGATTCATTCACTGAGGATTGGAAGCCTGGTTTTGCACCGTTTACTGCAATGTACCATGCTTTGAAAACTATAACTCTCTTTTACCTGAATATAGTGGAGCCAAAAACTGTAGGGATAGTGTTTATGGGCATATTTAATTGTGGAAAGAGCTTCTGGTTGAGCAAAATAGAACTCTTAGAAAGTCTCATTAGCAGAAGTGACCATCTAGATTCAAAGGGGACAATGGGAGTTGCAGTACTACAGCAACAGATGAAACAGATGCTGAATGTACCTTATTGTGATGTAGGGAAGGGAGAGCCATTGGCATAGGATGATGTGGAGCTAAAAGGCTGCTTGTCTCTGTTTCAGTACAAATGGACAATATGTGAAGCAAGGCAAATATGGAGTGGCGGTGGTGGGGAGCCATGCCACCAAAGAGGTAAATAAAGATACCACATGATGGCCTAAAACAGTGGGGAAAGTGGGGGTTGCGGACCCAAAGTGTCCCCTTTTGGATGGGGAAATGAATCAGGCACTACCTGGACCAATATTATGATTCAAAGCAACCCATTATGATTGTTCCACTAGGATAATTAAAATTAGATACCATTTGTTTGAGAATCTTGAGTTATATTCTTATTTATTATGACTCGTTTTATTTCTGGTGATTTAAATTGTTTGACTTGTTATGTGTTGTATTATTATTTATGTTATTGTTTTGTTGTAAGCCGCTCCAAGTCCCTTTGAGACATGGGGCAGGATGTAAATATAGATTCATTCATTTGCCTGGGATTCAGCAAACTAATTGATCGGAGAAGAAGCAATCATTTCTCCCATTTTGTGTGACTTCACAGTATATTGTTAGAAGCAAGCTGCCAAGTATAAGACAAATTAAAGCTGTCAGAGGAAGATGCTTCGAAGTAAGTGCTTTAATTTCTGCTGATTTGTTCTTTTCTCCTCTCCCTCATACAAATTCCAGTACAGACTCCTCCTCTATATCAACCAGCAGCAACAAATTGCAGCCGCCAGGATCCATTCGGCATTTGCATTCACGGTAAGCCATGGCATTAAGACCCACCAGAGCCACAGAATACTGTATATACTCGAGTATAATATGGGTTTTTCAAGCCCTTTTTTAGGCTGAAAAAGCCCCTCTTGGCTTATACTCGAGTCAAAGTTATTAATTATTTTACTCTGTTATTATTATTATTACATTTACATTTTACTCTATTATTATTATTATTATTATTATTAGTAGTAGTAGTAGTACATTTAGTATTTTACTTTATTATTGTTATTACATTTCTTGTTTACCCTATTTATTATTATTTTTGGAAAATTTCAATAATTTAAAAAAAAAATTCAAATATTCAAAAACATTTAACCCACTGATGCCTCAATTAATGTAATTTAATTGGTATCTATTTTTTATTTCGAAATGTACCAATAGCTGCTGCATTTCCCACCCTCAGCTTATACTCGAGTCGATACGTTTTCCAGGATTTTTGTGGTCAAATTATGCCCCTCGGCTTTTATTCAAGTTGGCTTATACTTGAGTATATACAGTATTTATTTATTTATTTATTTATTTGCGACATTTATATGCCGCGCTTCTCACCCCCAAGGGGTCTCAGAGCAGCTTACAAGGTATATATTACATACAATATATTATATTATTAGCATATTACAATATCAACATTAAACATTGCTATATTGCACCATACCACTATATCGTAATTTTATTAGTAATATTCCATGTAAGATAAATATATAATTATAATATCATATTATTATTGTATTGCATTACATTATAATATTATAAATGTTATATGTATATACAATATATTATATTGTATTGTATTGTATTATATTATATTATATTATATTATATTATTAGAATAGCACAGCTGATGGCATATCCAGGAAACAAGATAGAACTGTCCCTTGGCCTCCCCTCTTCACTCTGCCCCAGAGTGACAGTTGGTGTTGGGGCTTGATATATATATATGTGTGTGTGTGTGTGTGTATATACACACACACACACACACACACACATACATACATACATACATACACACACACGCACATGAGGAGAGGGCAAGAAATTTATTATTATTATTATTATTATTATTATTATTATTATTATTATTATTGTATTGTTGAATGCTTTCATGGCCGAAATCACTGGGTTGATGTAGGTTTTTTCGGGCTATATGGCCATGTTCTAAAGGCATTATCTCCTGATGTTTTGCCTGCATCTATGGCAAGCATCTTCAGAGGTAGTGAGGTCTGTTGGAACTAGGAAAAGGGTTTATATATCTGGAATGACCAGGGTGGGACAAAGGACTCTTGTCTGCTGAAGCTAGGTGTGAATGTTTCAATTGACCACCTTGATTAGCATTTGATTGCCTGGCAGTGCCTGGAGCAATCTTTTGTTGAGAGGTGATTAGATGTCCTTGTTTGTTTCCACTCTATTGTTGTGCTGTTCTAATTTTTGAGTTTTTTAATACTGGTAGCCAGATTGTGTTCATTTTCATGGTTTCCTCCTTTCTGTTGGAATTGTCCACATGCTTCTTGTGGATTTCAGTGGCTTCTCTGTGTATTATTATTATTATTATTATTATTATTATTATTATTATATTAAATAACTATTTAAAATAATTATAAAATGTATTCTATTAAATAAAATTATTGTTGTTTTTATTAGCATCATCATCGTCATCTCAAAGCATGGGCAGGTTCATAAAGCACATCAGGGGCCTTCAAATAACTTGAGCCGTTGCAATGGTTCTTCTCAACGCTTGTCCAGGACTTAATTATATCTCGAATAGTCCTTCCATTGGACAAGAGAGATTGAAAGAATCATATATTGTGAGAGTATAAAAGGATGTGAATCGACATGAATATCTCGAGCTTTAGCAGTGAACGCTTTAGCAGTTAGTAGCACAACACAACAGCTTGCAAGTATATGATGTATATGATGCTGCCCACTAGGACCGCCTTGGGTTTCAGCTCGAGACTAATCAAAGATCTCATTTTGAACAACTGTTTGTGATGTTTCTCCTATTTAATAGTATCCAGTCCCACGTAAATTAGCAAAACCAGGTCCATAACTACCTACTTCATTAAGTTTACATCTTTTCTTCCTTCCACAGGTCCAGCCCAACAACTACAGCACATTCTATGACGATCAGAGGCAGAACTGGTCGATCATGTTTGAGTCCGAAAAGGCGGCTGCTGATTTCAGCAAACAGGTGCCAAGGAATAAGTCCCACATTTGGGACACAGGGGTGGGTTAGTAGAAGCCGTGGGACTTCATACAGGCCAAATATAATAAGGCCTTCTTCCCCTCACAGCTGGGCATTGCCAAATACAACAGCAGCCATTCTCCCGACTCGGTGGTGTGTCAGGATCTTATCCCTGGAGAAGGACAAGCCGTGGAAGTAGGCGACTCTCTGGAGGTGGCCTTTACTGGTTGGCTCTTCCAGAATGGCAGCCTTGGACAGGTATTTCTCTCATTGAATATGCAATCCAAGTACCCCTAATGGCTTCTGTTTCGATTTTAGTGTCCTGTTTTTCTCTCTCTTCAGCTAGACTTCTTTCTTTTTTGGCAGGTGTTCGATTCAAATGTTAACAAGGACAAGTTTCTGCGCTTGAAATTGGGGTCGGGCAAAGTCATTAAGGTAGGTGGTTTAGAGACAAAATAAATAAATAAATCTCTAGCTTCCCTTATTTTTGGCCAGTTTAGATATAAGTTACCATATATACTCGAGTATAAGTTGAGGTTTTCAGTCCTTTTTTAAATAGTCTTTATTGAGAATTTTCATTAAAATATTATATAAAAATAAAAGAAGAAGAGAAGAAAAAATAGATTAAGGCTGAAATAGCTCCCCTCTGGTTGTACTTGTGTCAAGGTTATTTGTTATTTTACTCTGTTATTGTTATTACTATTATTATTATTACATTTATTATTTTACCCTATTTATTATTATTATTATTATTATTATTACATTTACATTATTTTATTCTATTATTATTTTTGTTACATTTGTTATTTTACTGTTATTATTACATATATTATTTTTTCTATTTATTGTTATTACATTTATTATTTTACTCTATTATTATGCATATTATTTTATTCTATTATTTATTTATTTATTTGCGACATTTATATGCCACCCTTCTCACCCCGAAGGGGATTCAGAGCAGCTTACAAGATATATATACATACAATATATTATATTATTAGCATAGTACAATATCAGCATTAAATACTGATTTATTTATTTATTATTGTTATTATTATTATATTTATTATTTTACTCTATTATTATTATGCATATTATTTTATTATATTATTTTTATTATTACATACATTATTTTTTTCTATTTATTGTTATTTCATTTATTATTGTATATTATTATTACACATATTATTTTATTCTATTATTTATTTATTTATTTATTTATTTATTTACGACATTTATATGCCGCCCTTCTTACCCCGAAGGGGACTCAAAGCAGCTTACAAGATATATATGTGTGTGTGTGTGTGTGTGTGTGTACTTACAATATATTATATTATTAGCATAGTACAATGTCAGTATTAAATAATATTTATTTATTATTGTTATTATATTTATTATTTTACTCTATTATTATGCATATTATTTTATTCTATTTATTATTGTTATTATTACATTTGTTATTTTACTCTATTATTATTAAAGTAGCTGTACCCACCATACGTTGCTGTGGCCAACCCTTCCCTCTTTCTCTCCTTCTTTCCCTCCTTCCTTCACTCCCTCTTTCCTTCCTTCCTTTCCTTCTTTCCTTCTCTTCTTCCTTCTCTATCTCTTTTCTTCCTTCCCCCTTTTTCTTTCTCTTCCGCTGTCTCTCTTTTCTTCCTTCTCTTTCCTTCTTTCTTTCCCTCCCTCTTTCTCT